TTAAGCAAGAGATTCATTTAAAAAGCAATGACAAAACGTCATATTGATCCAGACTATAACATATCAGCTTATTATATGATGAAATATAACCAAAAGTTAATCAAGTCATTAAAGAAATTGTTGTTGATGTTATCAACCGTCTACACATTTTTTTTTTTCGTAATAAAATGTTGATGATAAATGTAATTTTATGTTTTGTGAACAGATTTTGAAATAATCTAGTTAAATTAAAATTATATAGCTTATAGATGATAAATTTATACTATAGATATTAGATTAGAAATGTTGATAAATTCATACTATATTAAATTATATTAGTTTTAGTAAATACAGTGTAATGATGCTTTTAGAAGAAAGACCAAAATTTAATATCAAACTACAGACATTTCCATTCTTTAAATAAAGTCTCTTCTTAGACAAATGATCAATGATATTATGAACATCTTAAGACACATTAAGAACCCTACTGATGCTACTGAATACCAAACAGCAGTCGGCATGCATCTCATGGGGACACCATCTTGTTGACAAATGTAGGTTTCAAGCAAATATGCTGAGTATCAATGTTTTCTATAATAATAGTGTCGTTCTCTTTCACATTAGCTGGGTCTCAGTGGAACTATGGTGAGAAACAGACTGTCAAGAGCTGTCCATTGTCCTAAAAGAAATACTATATTCTGATAAACTGTCATTTTTACACTGTTATACTATTTGACATGTCAGTGACAGTGGAAATAAAAAATTGTTTTTACTTTATTGTGTGAATCATATTGTCTGTCAGATACAATAACAAGAAAGTTAATGATTATGACATGTTGTTTGGTTCTAGAATAATATAGAGTGAGGGCAAGTAAATGATTAGTATGTCTCAGTAACTGTGTAGATCCAGATGATTTGGTTACTTTATGAAGAGTTACCATTCTGAAGCATGATGTTTATATTTGTACCACAGATTGATATTATTATAGTAATCATAATGTTTTATTTATGTTATTACGTGGGCTCTGCAATTAATTCTTCCATTAAGTTGAAATCCCAAATCTTAAGGGGAAAAGTTGTTTATTTCATGGCTATCAATTCTATGACTATAAGGTTCTATAATTCATCTCAGGGAAAAAAAACATTCTGAATGGTTTGACAAGAATCTGATAAAACTGAAATGCTATGCAATTGGTGTCTGTCAATCCTGTCCCTGTAGATTTGTTATTGTCTTTGTACAGATTGATGGAATTGCATAGAGACCAAGTTTAATACAATACATATTTTATCATAATGCTGGAAGCAACTTTTTATTCAAATTCATCATAAAGTTATCAAATTTCACACAAGTAAGGTCTCTGTATTTTAATTTCAACATTGAGCAATTGGATATAATATCAAAATTACCAGTGAGTAGAAAATAATCGTGGATGATGTTGACAAGTTTAGTGGATTTATTATGTGAAATGATAAATTACTTCAGCCTATAACAAAATAACGCAGTAGAAAAAAAATCACTATTGTGCAGATCTGTTTGCTACTGCAGAAGCCATGATTATTTTTGCAAAGTCCAATGTTCTATACATGGATGATTTAGTACAACCAGAGTATTGGTTGAAATTGAATGTTACAATGATGTTTTCATTGATTAGGTTTGGGTTGTATCATGGCTGGTAATATTATTTACAGCAATTATTGCTCTCTTGATTGATAGCCAGTTTTTATTCCTGGGTTGAATTTATGGATGACTTATCTAACATGTCAGTCAAGATTTATCGAAAAGTTACCCTTAAAAATAATTTGATCAATATGTATATTGGTTGACAGTTTAGGAAAGTAATAATATAGGAAAACACGTAGCTTATATATCAATATATTCAGCCATTTACTACGATCAGTCTGAAATAAATCCATTCATTGATTTCCAAATAATTCTTGTCGTGTTTGTCTGGCCAAGGTATCCACCATGTCTGCATCTTGTCCGACTTGGTGATATCTCCTCAAAAAGGGTTTTGACATTTTTGTTTGTTTACAAATTTTCATATATGCTGCAGTTGAGATTTATACTCAAGATCACTATCACATTGTAAATTAATAAACAATAAACAAATATCCTTGTAACCCTTATTGTCACCTAAAGTAAGCAGGGGTCTGTTGAAATGGATATGCCCGTTTGTCATGTCAGACATTTAGGAACACCATATATACTATTGAAACAATTTAACTCTGCTTCTAATTGAGGTATAATGTTCAAACTTAATGTAGGTGTTTATCAGGTAAATCTCTTGTATTTATTACCATTGATAATTTGTGATTATGTCATAGCACTGTTCTGAGCCAATAAGACTCTGTCCTTGCAAAACTGTCTTACGTGTTTGCCCATCTATCCATTATTTACATGTTGACCTCCATGTGCAGTTCTTTGCTAAGAAAGTTATCAGTGACCAGGTAGATAGTACAATAGAGTATAATATAAAGATGTAAAAAGTGTCGTATATTGATTACGAGATACTCGAGTCAAAATGATTTACAAGCTGTTCATATCCAGATCATATTCAATAGCTTCATGTCAAATATATGATGGGTTTATATAGACCTAATGAGTGCTTATTACCCTCCGTAACGACCTCTTTAAACGTCGTAATAGCCTTTTTTACACTTAACTCTAGTGTTCTAACCTGACATCGCAGTTCAGGTACCACATCTATAACATATTTCTATCTCATCCATTTTTACGTTTAAGAGGTGTGATAACTAGTTAATCTGGACTTCACATATCGGTACTATAGGAAAGTACCTGCAGTCCTGGACACAAATTTCTTTGGGTTTGAACTGGATTAGAGTAACTTGCTGCAACAGTGTGGCAAATTATGAGATTATTTGAAATAAAGACTTTTGATTCTCTCCAAATTTAGTTCTTGACAAATTATTACAGCTATTAATTTATTTGGGCATGATTTGGGCATTGATACAAACTGCAAGCTATTTAATATATAGAGGGTGTTCAAATGCTAAAAAAATCGAATCTAATGATAATTGCATTTAATTTTGTTCAAATTCTGGTGAATTATCCGAAGAAATCTTGATTAATAGTCATTAGAAAACCAGTCCTTTCAAAGATTTTACATTCTACATTGATCACAATATTCAATCAATTCTGCTTAATTGTGGAAATGAGTAAATTTCTTCTCTAAGAAGTCAAGAATCCATTGGCTATTATTCCATAGTTTTATTCTTGCATTGTCATTTGCCACCTTAACAAAAGACGAGAAGAAAAGGGTTAATTTAATTGCACCAATATTGATAGAGTTATTGGCAGTTATAATAGATGATAAATGAGGTAAATAAATGATGATAGATGTTTCTTTTACCTGAGGCTGATGATAATTACCTGACAGTCCATTATACAATATGCTAAACCAAAAGTAGAAAACCCTGTCACTGTTAAATCGAGCAGAAGTTTCTGAAGAATCTTGTTTTTTCTATCAAATCGTGATACATTTGTGGAATGTTTACGTTGGAATTATCCGGCAATTAAAACATGCTGACTATTGTCTGGCGATTTTCTGGTAGTTTTACATGCTATAAGGACCAGAAGACATATTGCTGAAATTCCAATAATCACTTTCTGGATATTTTTATTATCCTGTGTTTGACAATTATAGACAAAGAAAGTGATTGAGGTAAAAGATTGACTGTCCAAAGACAAGGGACAGGGACATTGCTTCTTACTAAGGAGACTGTATAAAGAATCTGGCATACATAAAGTAACTGGATAATTTATAAATAAAAACCTTTAGTTATCATTTGATACATTTCTACCGATATGCAAGCTTCGATTTTATAATTTTTTCGTTATTTGTTATTAATTGTTCAGATGATCTTATGCATTCTACTGGGTATGAAGTCTGTCCTAAAACACAAATATTGAAAACTCATGTCAGAGGATCGTAGAAATTGTCTCCAGATTGTGGAGTTCAGGATGTAAAGGCTTATTTGACGTTGTCTATTGAAGTCACTCCTTATTATGTAAGCTGACACAATTCATGAACTTAGTTCTATTAAGTCATCCACGTTTGATGTACATCCATGGGACGGATCGAGTTAACAAAATGTGTAATACATATCTCTAACACGGTTTAATCTTCCCCGTCTTAGTCTTGATGCCAGAAAATGACGCAGGCGCTACTGGCTCTGAGATGTTTATTTTAGATAAATTGCACCTGGTCGGCATTCCAAACTTCTTCTCAAAATGTCAGAATATTGGCGTCATCCCCAGAGATATTCTTGTGTCCTCTGTGCTTTTCTAAACATAGATTTCTGATGAGCAATGTAAAATCCTTGAGAGAAATATCTTGAAAGGACTGTGGTATTTTTCACCAGATATTAAAGCAGCTTGTGATTGTAGCTTAGACTCGAGAATGAATTGTAATAGTTCAATGTTTGATTGGAGGCCAGATAAGTTGCGGGGATTGTTGTCCGTGTCAACAAGACAAAGCTTTACCTTTCGTGGTTCTGTTATCATTAGTAATCAGCCCTTGCACCTCATCTGTAGAAAACATAGTGACATAGTGAAAATATATTAGCCAATAAAACTCAAACTCAAATGGTAACCCACAAAACACATCTTTGACAAAAATTGAACAATTTCTTCAAAAAAATTTTTTGTTGTGATCATTATAATTGATTAAAGTGAAAGTAAATGTCAACATTTGTAACAAACACAAACAAAATACTGAATATATTGAACACAATATCATTGTTTGACAAATACATATTAATATGAAAAAACATGAACAGATTTAATATTGATTAAATAAATACATTTGCACATAAGCAACAAATATGAACAATTTCAGGAATTTTAATAATTCATAAAACATATGAAGCATGCATAGGTTTACTTAATTTTATCAAGTAAAATGATGCAGTTATTAGAATTATTAAAATATGTGAGAGGGCTGCTTTAACCTAAAATTATTAAAAGTTTATACATGAAACTATTTATTTTGTCTTTTCAGATTGAAGATGCTATGCTGATGTTTGACAAATCAACAAATAGGCATCGAGGTAAGATAAGAAATCATTGTAAAACTTAAAAAGATTGGCTATTTCTCTTGTCAAGACAAAATAATTTGGTGGTGTGGTAAAGTTATCGTTCACAGAAATAGAATATAAACCAAGCGTTGTTATTGCAATTTATCCGTGAAAATAATGCAAATTCCGTGAACTGTTAAAGCGATCAATGTTGTTGAAAGAAAATGTTTTGAAAGGAAGAATATTGATGAAAGTCAATGAGATTCAATTTAATATTTCAAAAAATACATTATTACGTGAATAATCTATAATATCTGTCCACTTACAAAACTAAAACTGTTTTAAAAATACGATAAGAAACCATTGAATAAGATGAGCATCTAAAACCATTATTTTCTTCCCATGAAACCGTGTGTGGAGTAAAAAAAAATCTATAGTGATGACATACGTCATCATTGGAGGTTTGTAAAGAGCAGGATAATTTAACAAGAAGCGTATTTGGTATAACTAAAATGAGTTTGTCTACAAAATAAATGGAATCTAGTAAAATCCATTTTGTGCACAGAATGGTATAAAACTGTTGACCTTTGAAAGCTTTTAATTGTCATAGTAACCACAAAAACGCTTTGGCAGAAACTTTGTAAACAACTTCAGTGAAATTAAAGTAATAATCTGTCAAAGAAATAATTGGCCGTTTCACAAAAAACGAAGTTACTCATTAGGGATGAAGTAAAATTTGGACAACAGTTGAACTGTGGGATTGATTGACCCACAGGAAGTACCAAATTACACGGCTGCCTGGTATTTAACAGCTGTTGCAAGAAACAGACGTCATGGTAGCCATTTAGGATTGATGAATATGCTAAGATGTAAAACATATCTTTGTGGGTCATGCAGTGAAACAGAGAGTTTTAGCTCCAGCTTATATGCTACATTTATCTATAATCTCATGGTAGAAAATAGCTTTTGTAATTTTTGCTATTCGGTAATAGTTTGACGAAAACTAATTCAAAATTTATAATTTATGTTAACAAAATTCTGAATCCCAGACTGAATTTCAAATATCAAAACAGACTGAAATTCTCTTGCTACTCTAACCTTTACATGGAAGATTCCTGCCTCCCTACCTGACAAGGATAACTATTGCTTAAATCCATACCTCAAGTTTCTGCTGCAATTACCCACGTCTCTAGCAATTAGCTTTGAAATTCTGGGAATTTAGTTCTGTAAATATCCACTCCAGGGAGAGGCAAAAAAAAAATAACAAAATCCTTTCGTGTTAATTAATTTGCAAGGTTGATAACGTTTGTTTCACTGAGCTGGTGAATACTTGAGTCGCAAATTACACCCAACAGTTCTGCATTGTGAATTTGATTCGTCAATAGAGCAGTCAAATCCTATAACTCCCATCATTAGAATGAAACAATGCCGGTTCTCTCTGACAACAGTCTTAAAAAATTGGTGAGGGTGTGGGAACAAATGTCTGAAGCTTGCTCATTTAACATTCCTATCTTCAGACATTAGAAAAAATATGCAGGGGTGATAACAACACTCTTGATGATCAGTTTGTACAATTTCAGCAAGTAGCGTGTGCATGTTAAATAGACCAACGCATGAATGATTCAATAACATCTGTAGAACTCAAACACAAAAGTTCACAAAATTAAATTTGCCAGCACTAGATTTAACTTTAATAGTGGAAAGGATGTCTTGTAGTTTTGTATATCTAGTCTCTGCTGTTGTTCTTTAGTAGAATAATTGTCTTACTCTGGTAAATCAAGTCTATTGTAGCTATACTGAGCCATGGGTAATTTATAGGCTGAGCTTGCTAGTAACTCGGCAAGACTTGTTAGTAATTCCTTTGAATTAAGCTTAAACATGATCATAAATTCACCCATTTTATTCAATCGGGGACATTTACCAAATTTAATTCTGTTGTTTATATGGTCAAATTTATTAATAATGGCAAAGCTATATAATTAGTAATTCAATAAAGATCCATTAGTAATTATGCTTTTTACTGGTAATTACATTTGATCATCAATAATTGTTCAACTGTCCACACTAATCAATCAGTACTATTTTGAAATTATCATTGGCTCGTTAGTTGTTTAATAATTAAAAATTTGACTGAATAACTGGATCTTATAGTTGCTTTAAAGTCATTAGTCCTAATTGCTTCAAGTCTATAGTTTAGTTTTAGTGGCTGTCTTTTAACCTTTTTTTAAGCTTTTTGGTGGTTGGGTCGGATAGAACATAAATTAGATGTAGTGTTTCTTAATAGTGCATTTCTTGGTACATGTAGGCTTATATTTGGTAGTTCATAGATCATAGTTTTAACGGTAGATTAAGATAGCTTAGAGGTAGTAATTAGTCTATTAAAATTCTATGGAGGAAGTTTTTGAAATGCAGGATGTTCCCAGATGTTCTGAAGTTCCGTAGGAAATGGATTAATGATTAATGGATTATCTTTCCCAAGTGTGGTGTTGAAATAAATTGAGGAGAAATTGGAAAAAAAATGTGATGTGTTGTTTAATCAGTTTTTGAGAAAAAAAATTGAACGCGTCTTGTTAAGTTGGATGTGGAAAAAAAATTAATGTGAAGTAAAGTTGTGATATGATTTCTAAGTGTGAAAAAAAATATGTTATATAAACTTGATGGAAAAAGAAATATGATCAACTCCATTGATCTTTCATAACAGCTTGTGTGGATTCCGGATAAAAGATCAGTTCTGATACGAAGCGTAACGTATCGTTCAAATGAACACTCTCAAAAGATCCCCAATGAGACGAAGGTCAATGAAATTTGGATCAATGTTCGCTTTATTTTCCACATTATTGGGATTTTTTTAATGCAGCCGTGTCAACAGATATCCCAACAGCTTACAAGTTACATCGGAAATTTTCAATTTAAATGATAAAAAATTGAATTGATCGGGTAAGGCAGTAGTGAATGAATCATTTCTGTCATCAACAGTAAGTTATAAAGTAGATGTAGGATATTGTAGTTAGATGCTTGTATATTCTTGAATATAATATTTTATGAATTTGCCATTATTATTTATTTTGAATCATTTCATCTAGGAATTAATAAAGAAAGTTACATTCACAGTCAGCTCAAAATATTTACCAATGCAAATCCCATAAATTCCACCAGAGCTTCAAATCACTTTGAATATATTTGTATATAATTGAATAATCCCGTTGTAAATAGCTTTGTCTGCCAATCAAATTAAAGTTAATCCTGGAAACTTCAGATGTTCCTTTATAAGGGATTTCTCAATCTAGACCTTGTTAGTAAAATATGTCAAGTGTTAGAAGGGATGTAGAGTGGACAGTCTACAAAAAATATTTAAGCCCCAATTTCAATATTGATCAATACATAACAAGATTGAGAGTAATCTGCCCCTTTGTTTTTCCTTCGACTAAATATATAGTACAATATAACTGTGTCCCAATCGACAAACTTGTACGACAAATAAATGGACACATTCCTACAACATTTTTGAAACATCTTTTCTCATGGAACCAAAGTGCATCCTGGGTTCCCAATCCCCCAAACAATTATGTGAAGTTAATCCCCACAACCTTTGACTATAGAAGGTGGTAAATACCTATATTATTGTTAAGATTAAGGACTATGTAGACATAAATGATTTTGTATATATGTTCAGACATATTCTTTCTTTAGTTAAGAGGCATTGCTCACATTTTATTGGGTTCTTTATATACTTCTGTACCTTACAATATAACCGTAGAAATGTGTTAATAGTTGTGCCAATGTCTGCTGATTGTTATCCCGAATGTCCGTGTAAATAGGATGAGGAGCCTGAATTTGGTGTTAAGGAGCTCAAGATTACAAACCTGTAAATTTTTCCTTTGATCCATGTAAACTACTGATAATCTTGAATAAAATATTTGATGAATATAATATTTAATAAAGAAATTGTCAAGAATTGGTTGCCCAAAGAATTTTAGGGGCATATATTTTTAGCATTAAAAGATAACCACTTGATCATTCGTTGGTTCGAAGTTTTTACAATATAATTTTGGCCTATCACCAGGAACACCTATCCCTTCACCTCCATCCACACTGCAAATATCATTTATAACATGTATTGAACTATTTATATCATGATCATTTGAAGAATATGCTTGAGACTTGAACATCATTGGCTTCACTCAAAACAAAAGAAAACAAAAAGAGCACAACTAATTTTTTAAACACTTGATTGAAAACCAGTGTAGGAGGAAGTATTGGAATGTAGTACATAGAGTTGAATTAAATAAAATCAAAGAATGCCATGCCATATTCTGAAATTGATTATTATCTTAAATGCTGAAACACTAAATAGATTTAATCTAATGTGATGTTACTTGCCATTTATTACTATACAAATTTTCACAGTTCTTTATGGTTGTGAATTTCTTTTTTTTTTCTTTTTTATTTGAAAAAATAATACTAAAAATTAAGTTCTTGCACAACTCTTTAATATAAATACAATAGATCTTGTCTACAATTAACCCAAATCAATAGATGTACCACCATGATACCATCGAGCTGCAAACACCCACAAGTCTCAAAATAGACCTACAAAATAGTTTGTCCTGTGGACTGAAAATGATTAGTGCTATTCTCAGTAAAAATTTACATCACGAAACACTTGATTGAATGTTTTCTTTTTTTTTCTTATTTCTGTTTGGTATAGGACAACAGCAGACCATGCTCACTTTATCGCATGTCAAAACCCTATTAAAATACATTGCAGGTTTATTTTTTTACCCCATTCCTGATCAAGAACTCAATCAATTAATGCGTAATCAAAAATTCGTTAACTCTCTTCCCAGCTAAGATATTTCTAAAATCTAATTTTATCTTAGATGCCATTCTTGTCCTACTTTTACAAAACTCTACCAACGAATATTTTCGGTGAATTTAGATTTGCACAAAATGAAATTACATCTCTTGTTTGGAAATTGGTTTAGCTTTTTCCAACTTCCTCACAAATAATTTAAGAAAGAAAACACTGGAAT